TTGAAACAAATGAAAGTATGCGAACAAAAATTTAATTTATACGTTACACAGGGGGTGGTCCACGACATACCTTCACTTCATACCTCTAAACTCTGTGACCTCAACAATAAAGCCTCACTTCAATCATCGCATAATAATAATACCTATTATTGATGTTATCATAGAATGTCTAAAATTTCTTTATTACTTAACATACTTATGAAGTAATGTTCAAAATAAGTTAAACAATTTATTCCTTCTAACAATAAGGTTTGCTATTAAACAAACATAAACAAAAACTTATAATAAATTTCAATTTACCATAACCATTACATACTGTATATGTCTTATAGTTGGTATATAATTAGAGTAATGGTTAGAGTTAGAGGTAATAGTTAGAGTTAATGGTAATAGTTAGAGAGTAAGTGAGCGAGAAAGAGAGTGAGAGAGAGAGAGAGGGAGAGAGAGAGAATTTAAATAAAAATTGAAGTAAAAGTGTATAATACTGTAGTAAATTAAAGTATTATAAATTACAATTAAACATTTTTAAAAATATACAATTGCATAAACAATACTTGAAGAAATAAAATTATAAATTAAAATATTTAAATTAAAATAGTAATCATTACTTAATTATCAGTAGTATATCTTTACTTTAATTTTATTAGCATTTAAAAATGAAACAAATATTAATATTTAATGAAAGTAAAATCCTTGTGTTGTTTTCGTTGAAAGTCAGACACTCTTAGAATATAGTGTAGCTGAGAGTCTGTCTCCCCATTCACTCGTATGTGAATTGAATTTATAATATCTTCCAAAAGATAAGTTAAGTCAAAACGAGGTTTAATTCACTTTTTAAAAAATAGTCATGATTCTGATAGGTGTAATATAACAATATAACCTGGATAATTGTCGATTCTATGCTCTTGTTTTGACGTTTTAAAATTATAATATTTTGCTTTAAAATGATATACAATAAGGAACACAAAAAACATATTAACACGAATTTGCGAGTTTTTGGAGTCTACTACTGTATATGGTATTTAATATATGGCATATTATATAAAAAATCATTATAACGTGTGACTAAGTACAGGAAGTAAATAAGTTTGCATTTAAAGACTACCTGACTAATTTTAACAGATTAGCTTTGTTTTAAATATAAAAGTATATGTTTTAATATAGCATAGATACCAATAATTGGTCACCAGCCACAATAAACATATAATAATGTCAGCTTCTAAGACAACATTTATTGGGTCTGCGTAAATGCCTGGTCACATGTTTTTTTTTGTAAATGTTCCGAAATTTTCAACAAAAACTTAATGTACGAAAAATGCTGGTCTCCGAAGTTTCGAATTGGTCATTCTAGTTGCATAGATAACATTTACGGATTAATAACAAAATTATATACTTGTATTTCACAAATTCATTTTGTATAAGATGTTATTTCAAGTATTCTTTGGGTCCTTTATCTAGTTTCTCATATTACTTGAAATTTTCAAATAAAATATTTTCAAAATTTGTATTTACATTTCACTGTTCTAGCATTTCATATATTCAACCACATTCAAAAAATATTATTTTGTATTTTAAAATAATTTAATGAAATTGCTTAGTTTTTAAATTGTTTACTATACTGGTAAGTGTTAAATACATGTATAATGTTATATGATTTGTTAACAATTGTCAATCAATTAATCAAATTTCAAGTAGTTTTCTCAAGTAATAAAAATTTATAAACAATTACAATAAAAAATAAATATAAAATTGATATATAATAATAATAAATATAGAAATAAAAGTCCGGCAGCTCTTCAGCTCAACTATAATTATTACTTTCTTTTGTGTTATTAAAGAAATGTCTTTTTATAAAGATTTTAATTTGATGTGAAAATAAGTGTTTGAATTCATTAATATATAAAGCGTTTGTTTTCAATGTTAAATACATTCAAGTTATAGAAGTGTTGGAATCTCACAAAAATAGAAACATTTGGTTTATTACACATAACCTCCAAATTGTGCAAAAATACATTAATTAAGAATAGCGTCTCTTGTAATAAAAGATTGCCCGAGGGTGGTTTACTAGTTTACTAGTTTAGATATTATATGCGCTATATATTGCGAAATGAGAGTTTGGGAAAACACTTTTTTAATCACAAGAATGGTATGCTTTTTGTTTTCATAGTTTATATAAATAAACTCCGTTTTATTCTACTGAAAAAAGTTGATCAGTATTTTCAACTATATCCAAACAATTTGTAAGTAAACAATTTAATTATAATTTTAATTTAAATACTTTATATAAATTTAGATCTAATTCTTATATGTTTTGTATTGATTTAAACAAGAGTTCAATTTTACATTTATCCTATCATTTTTACATAAAATTTAATCATAGCATTGCATACACTTATACTTGAATTAAAAATTTTGTTAAATGGTTAATAAATAAAAAAAACTAAAACATGTTTTATTTACTTTAAAATACGATAGTTGTAATTAAAATAATTTTAATTATGAATGAGCAATTTAATAAAAAACATATATAAAAGTGTCAAATGAGAAGCCAAACAAAAGTATACTGTACTGTCTTTTGCAAACCGATGCCTATTTAGAGCTATGTGTAAAATGTTAATGTAAAAATGAATCCTTGTTTGTACTTATTGATATTAATTATAATATCCATAATAATATTATTAGATAATATCTAATAATAAATTGAAATATGATAAACTATTAATTCTTTTTTACGATTCAATTAGTGATTTAACTAATAATATTATTAAGGACAGCAAAAAAGGGCGATCTAGAGCTTTCTTCACAGAAAAACACAATTTTCTAATTCATTTTCACAAATATTAAAGTTGTGTTCAAAGCAATGAGTCAAACATTACTTTATCTAAAGTTAAGTTTTTTCTGTGAAGAAAGCTCTAAATCGCCCTTTTTTGCTGTCCTTAAATATTATTTAATTTCATTTAATTGTTTATAAAATAATTTCAAAGTTGATTTATTTAGTATTGAAATTTTATTATTAGTTAGTAATCGATATGTAATTTAAAATTGATTTTTAAATAATTTCTTTAGGAAATCAGTTGTTTCTTATTTGATTGGTTTTCAGCCTTGAATTCTACAGAGAAAGAGAAACACATAAAATAATAATTTATAATCAATTCTTATGTGAAGTAAAGTCATTTAAACTAAAAATAATAAGAAAAATATTTATTTTTCAATGTTGTTCATATGGTTGGACTTATTTTCAAGTATACAGTAGTTTGAATAATATGTGCGAATATTTTCAAAAATTGCTTTTGGTTTTATAATATGAAAAGCCATTATTTGCTTTAAATTACTTAACAATTGTTTTTTTGTTGATGTAAGTGAACAAACAATGATAATTGTGTGAATTATTGATATTTAAAACAATCAAACCTTATGCCAGAAAACCAAAACAACAACAACTCATCAAATCTTTTTATATATTATTAATTATTTGCTAAAAGTTGCAAATTTAAATTCAACCATTTTTATTAAGTTTAAATTAGTGTTTACAATGAATGTTGTAAGTAATATAATTTGGGTGACTTTACATCTAATAATATTTCTAATTGCTGTGAGAAGTGATGATCACAATAATGATGAATACAAAGGTTGGCAGTCAGTGATCGACGCCTCGGATATACTTAAAAATGATCCGAAAGTTAGATTTATTTCGAGGATTGTGTCATCAGTTAATGTGAGCGCTGAGTGTCGGGAAAGTGTTAGAAATACATTGCAGTCATTTGAAGGGTTGGAGGACTGGGCCTTTCAAATGCTTAACTCTTGGGGCGATTTCCCACCAAAAGGTGTTATGGAGGGCACGATCACCGACTTCGGCGACTATGACCAGTGTCTGTCGATTGAACCCAATTTATCGATTGGTCGCTCTCAATATTGTTTGGTCGACCTGGAAGTGCCCATGCCCAAACCATTGGTGTCCGAAAATATTAATTATTTTGATATCATTGATGTTTTGCCTAAAAGTGTTAATAAGAGTTCAAACAATATATTCGTTAAGCTGTCTCGAGACGCCTCTTATTTCTACTTCTTCTTCTTGAGGACCGGTATCTGTACTCCCGATAAATGTACTAAACATGACATCAAACTCATGGTTCATAAAAGTAATGTGCTTTTAGTCTATCATATATTTAAATAAATAAATATTAGTATGATGCAACATACTGCAATATTTTAAATAATAATATCTATAAATATGTTAATTTTATTAAATTTATTTTAAACTAAAGGTTTTCTAAATACTGGCTTAAAGCTAAGAAACATATCGTGTGAAGTGAAAACACCGAACAAACTTAATTGGGTTCAAATATTGGCAATGTATGTATATTTTGGCTTTTAATTTTCAGATTATTAATCTTTATTGAATAAATAATTAACGTGTAATTAGTTATTCCGAATGTTATTAACTAATTAAGTAAATAGTCCTTTCCCTCTCCGCGTCTCTCTCTCTCTCTCTCTCTCTCTCTCTCTCTCTCTCTCTC